TATATATATATATATATGAAAAAAAACAAGAGCAATGCTTGGAACACCACTCTCCAGCCAACACTTCCATTTTCATTGGGCCACGTTATGTTGGTTTCCAGAGAGGTCATCAATTCATGGCTAATTAAGTTTGGGTGGCCCAATAAAAAAGCATGTGTTGGCTGGAGAGTGCAGGAGGCGAGTGCCCCTAGCAGCTAACATTGCCCAAAAAACAGCTAGCACTGCCCAAAAAGCAACACCAATCACGTGTCAACATACTACCCACTAAAAAGAGTACCCCTCCATTATTTCACACTTTCACTTTCTTCCCCTTATCATCTTTTTTCTTTTTCTACCACTTTTCTCCATTCAAGCTCGCTTCCTGATCCTTATCTACTCCTTTTTCTGGCAACAAATTTTATCTTTCTTTGCTTGAGCAGTGAGCAGCAGCAACCAAATCCTACTATTTAAGGCTGGCTCCACATGATTTGGGTCACCAAATAGATTTCCATCCCGCCAGTGCGTGAGATGTGAGCAGTGGCAGTGAACAGCGGCACGCCAGCACCGTAGCAGTCCAAAATCTTTCCCTCCCCTGCGGCAAATTTCTGGAAATCTCTTCTTCAATTTTTGTAAAAGTGAAATTGAGATTTCAAACGATTTTACGAAAAAATCGCGCTTTTACGTTTTTATCATCTGATTTTATGAAAATCCGATTTTAAAGTCGATTTTACTCGGCATCCATACCTAACATATATAAAACGCGATTTTGACAACACTGGAAGTAGTGTTACTACACGGGATGTAGTACTAGTAATCACAAGGCGTACACGCAAAACGTTTCTCTGACAGTGTATACCTGCTGAATTGTGTCTATGTCCAGACCCTTCAGCCTGACCATTGATTCAACATGTCCTTTGAGTGTATGCAGTTCCCTTTGTCTGCAAAAGACGAATGTAAAGAGTGGACATTAGCATACGCACACCCTCCTTTGCCAGAAAGCAAATCTCACTCTAATCTGAAAATGCTAAATGGGGTGATGCTGATGCCCCCATCATCTGTGGGTGATGCCCCAGCATCTTTGGGTGATTCCCTAGCATCTGTGTTGCTTGTTCATTAATTCTTCAACTAAGTTTGGAATGCAAAACGAAAACTAGCAGTCCATTTCATGGTATTATACAAGAAATGATAGAAATCCTAACTTAGAATTCCATGACTGCAAACAGAAAACCAAGTTCCTTCCAAGTAAGCCCGAATGAATGAACTTAATCTATATAACGGAATATATTTGAGTATAGAAAATTTAAGGAGTTAGAATAACGCAAATCATGTAACATGATGAAGATGCATGGGATTAGCTTTATTGTTGGAGTGTATGCATACCCTGTATTTTCAGCAAGTCACTTTGTCTCCTCAGCCATCTGATTAAGTTCTGTGAAGCTGTTACGGTTGCTAAACATCTTGGTTTCAGGAGAGTGTAGTCCATGGAGGGTTCTCTGTGCATGTGCCCATTTAAGCTCACGTTCTTCCTTCCCAAAATCCATTTTCCTAGTGAAGCCAGTCTGAAAAAAGAATAAATACAAAATCAATCATAAAGATTCAGTAAGTTTCGTTGCCCACAGAAGCAACCCT